CTTTTCGTAGGATAAATTATAGTAATCGCAAAAAAGTAGAAAATAAATATTTGTATATATCTGTACGTTTCAGAGGTTTCTGAACATTTTAGCACACCTTAGAAAAAAATGTGCATGTGTGTGCGAATACAATTTTTTTCGACTATTTCGAGAATACGGTTCAGTCGATTTGAATGATTCAAAAAACATTCGATTCCTATTGATAGGGAGATGTGCTGACTAGCTTTTGGAAAGGGCAGGTCCAGCCGATACGGAGATAAAGAGCAAAGAGTGCAGAAAATAAAATTCGAGTTTTTGAGAGAACCGAGAATCCGATTTGAATGATCTAAAAAACATTCGATTCCTATTGATAGGGAGATGTGCTGACTAGTTTTTAGCAAAGGCAGGCCCATCCATTTCGAAGATACAGGGCTAAATATACAAAAAATGGCAGTTTTTGAAAGAAATAAGCATCCGAATTGAATGATTTAAAAAAATTTCTGCTTGTGTTGACAAAACAATTGCTTCTCGAAAAAAAAATTCTTTCTTTTTTTTTAGTATGTCGAAAATAATTCAGATTTCAAATTTAATTCTAGCTAAAGTTTTAAAGCTCACTTATATACTCTAAATAAATAATTTTAACTTTGTAATTCAGTTTATGACTAATTCTTATAAATATTAGACAATGTTACAGTATTTATAATAATCTATTTGAAAACATTTAATATTCCTCGAACATTTCGTTAAGGTACGGGAAGTTCCAGCAATTTGCCTTAAGGCACGATGACATACACCACTAGTTTCTTCTAAAATGTCTTTTTTTTTCAAAAATTTTAAAATCATAAAGCTTTTTCAAAAAATAATTTTTGGAACGGGAAGATCCAGCAATTTGCCTTAAGGCACGATGCCATGCGCCCCACTAGTTTTATTTAAAGTCGGAATAAATTATTGCCGAGCAAATGAATGTATAACCGCTAACCGGGAAGTTAGTAACATTAATACATCATATAATTCGAATAAATCGCTCCTATTCGCCGTCGAAGAAAAGTCCGGTCAGTTGAAACACTTTCGTGATTACGAGATCATTTCCTATTAGCGTGCACGCCTATAATTAATTATTCATAATTATCATCAATTCAGCTTTAATTGTTCAACCATTTTCTATAGGGGAGACTGGAGATAGTCGTCGTAACAGCTGAACTATACTGATTTTGAGATAGAAAATAGATTTTATGACTAATCGATCGTATTTAAGGGAATTATTTCAGTATTCCATATATACAAATGTTCAAATTATCATTTAATTTGATTTTCTCCCAGCGAACTGGTAAATCAATAAAATAAGGCCGATCAAAATAAAGTGGCACAATCATACCTAAAATTACATTATGACTTATACAAATTTATATTCTTGTTTAAGCAAATAAATAAGTCTAAGCACACATATTCAAGATCTGATGTTTTCTTAACTCCCGAAAATGAAAATTTTTCCCGATTTGAATGGTTCAAAAACATTCGATTCGTATTGATAAGGAGACGTGCTGATTAGTTTTTGGCGAAGGCAGGTCTAGCCGTTTCGGCGATACGGGACAAAAAGTGCCAAAAATGGTAACTCAGTTTTTGAGAGAACGGAACATGCGATTTGAATAATTCAGAAAACATTTTATTTGTATTGACGTAATGAAGAACTGATTAAATTTTTAGGAAAGCAGGTCTAGTAGTTTCGGAGATCCAATAAAAAAAATGAAAAAACATGCCATTTTTGGGTCAAAAATAATCATTAGACATATGCACATCAAATTATCAGATATTTTATAGAGATTTTAACAATAAGTATAAATTTTGTTTACATTCCTATGGGTTCCGTACCAATGTTTATCCGTTAGACGGCGACGCGGCGCTTACGCGCTTCGATATTTCGTCTATATGCAGTTAAAGCAGTACGATTGCTTCAAAAAAATGTTATGTATTTCCAAAATAATTCAAAATAAACTTTTCTTCAAAAATTCTTTTTTTTTCAAAAAAAGTAAATTTTGGTTAAAAATTTATAGTTTCTCAAAAATCTAATTTTTTCAGAGTAAATTTTTGTCAAAAATGTTAATCTTCTTTAAAAAAAAAAATTTGGTACGGGAAGTTCCAGCAATTTGCCTTAAGGCGCGATGCCATGCGCCCGACTAGTTTATCATTTGGACTATTTGGCTACAATTTATTATAAACAAATATTTGTATAATATGTCAATAATAACACACTAGCCATAAGTATGATTCGACACTAGACACTAAATTATATATATATATATATATATATATATATATATATATATATATATGTGTGTGTGTGTGTGTATGTATTTAATAACTTGTACTTGAAATTCTTGGCAAAATTGTCAACAATTTTTTGAGTATTGCACAATATTGAACGATAACCTGTGATACGATAAACATACATTTTAATGTTTCCTCGTAATATATATATATATATATATATATATATATATATATATATCTTTGTGTTTATGTATTTGCATTATTAAGTCATAACATGACCCCGATTCCCAATAAATTACGTAAAAATTGTTTTATCTCAATAAATATTGATATAAAATAATTCAAACCTAAATCTTCAAACAACAGTTTATTACTAATAGTGCTTCAACATGGTCTGCTTAAAAGTTAGTGATTTACATACTAAATTTACTTTTTGCACGTTTTTAACTATTTCAGTAACAAAGAAATCGCACTTTGATTTCCAATTACATACCAAAAGTTGGTTGTAGAAAATGCGTATTCGCATGCCTTGTTTTCAATAATGCATATGAAAATGCATTATATACGCAATAACTTTCGTTATTATTTTCATTAAGTATTTCATTTGTTTTTGTAGAAATTCATTTTGTGCCTTTTCGTGGCCCTGTGCATGGTACTTGGGGCCTTTGCGACTCCAACGGTGAAAGGGGAAGCCCCGACAGTCGACTGCAGCAAACGGGGCGGTTATTGGGAAAACGGTTGCTCAAGTGAAGGACCATGCTGCTTCGCCAAAGATCGTAGGTTTCTTTAGAATACATATTTCAATAGTTAATAATACAACTATGATTAAAGAATAGGGTAGAGAAGGACTTAAAGGTCCACGAGTAAAAAGGTCCGTCACCGATATCTCAAAAATAAGTAAACTAGTTGGTATTGGTATTTTGCCTGGAGGCAAGTCACATGAACTTCCCGACGTGTGTAAATAAATTAGTTTATTAGTGATTAAAAGTATCCCGAGTGGATTTATTACACATAATTGAAAACGAACGAACGCTTTAACTCGGAGTATTTTCTAAAAGCATATTTTCCAAAATCAATAATTTTTATAATTGAACCTGTTTCTTTCTGTAGGACTTTAATGGTTTAGTATGTTCATTAAGACCAAGTACTCTGTCGTTATACCGAGTAAATCGTTTAATTTTAATTTTAACGTCAAAAAAGCTACTCATTTTCTCAAACTTTGATGAATTTTTAAAATTAAACTACTTGTCGTAAAGGCCGTAATATTTCAGTAAGTTCTATGAAACCATGATATACATCGCCAAAAAAAGTTCCATAAAAATCGGCTTATTTTTTTTTCAACAGTTAATTACAAGAAAACGGCTCGGTAGATTTTCACCTAAAACTAATCAGTATCATTCCCAACTAATATCTTTCGAACAGTTTTTGATTTTTTAAAATCGATTCGGTAGTATGAGCTTAAATATGGACGAATAGTATAACACTTTTTTCAAATTACAAAGAAACGGCTCGGCAGATCGTCGCTCAAAACTGACAAACGATATCGAGATACATCAAATGGCTTTTAAATTTCTAAAATCGGTTCAGGCGTTTTTGAGCAAACGTCGATGAAAGGTCTAAGTTTGACAAACGCCAAGAAAACGATACTAATTTTTGCAAACTTTGACGAATTTTCAAAAATAAACGACTTGTCGTAGGCTGTAATATTTCAGTATGATCTAGAAGACCATGATATCTATCACAAAAAAACAAGGAAATCGTTGGAAAGTTTTTTTTTAAATTTATTACAAGAAAACGGCCGATCTTTACCAAAAACTAATCAAATCGATTCCCAACCGATCTTTCGAACGATTTTTGAATTTCCAAATCAGAATTGTGGGCTAAAACGTGGACAAAATTTTTTGCACTTTTCTGCTATTTACGAAGAAACGGTTAGGCCGATCGTCACACAAAATTGATAAACGCTAGTCCTCATCAAGATACATCGAATGGCTTTTAAATTTTTGAAATCGGTGCAGCCGTTTTTGAGAAAACATCGATTTACGGTAAAAATCTGTTCACACACACGCACACATATACTTTTTCCAAATTTGGTCTCATTCGATTCAGAATGGCTTGAAACGTCGAGATAAAATTATCGAATGGAATTTTTTGATAAAAACATAAACGTCTCCTTTAGGAAGTTAATAATTTACTATCATAAAACAAAGCAAAGAATCGCTCGTATCTCAGATCACTGGAAAGTCCGGGTACCACTGTATTTTTCAATATGTATACAATTTTGTTTCAAAAAGCTTTTCAATACTAGTTAACTCTTAATTCACGGTCTAATCATTTTATTAAATATTTTATTTGAAGAATTATTTCAAAATTAAATTTTACTATTATAATTCTTATAAATTTATTATTTATTTCGTAGCTACAAAGAACTAAAAAGCTACAAGATCGACATGAAGGCCACATCTGAACCAGAAAAAGTTTGGTGATGCAGTTAACTAAATTTATACTTATTTTAAAATATATTTTTTATAAATAAATAATACAGTAAAAGGTTTGATTAATAATAAATAGATTTTAAGGCTACAGATTCAATAATTGTTTACAAATAATGTGAGTATATATTGTTAATAATTACAAGATCATTGTGAAAATAAATAAAATATACAATATTATAATAATCATATATATTTCAATAATAACACTTTTATAATATTATACACAATATCACATGAATATTTAATAAAAATATAACTTCAATCCATCATATCAAGTATTTCATTATCATCAGACTCCAAATCAATTTCATCGCTGTCACCCTCATCATTGTCTTCAAGATCAATTTCATCAACATCATCATAATCTATCAGTTTGTTACTTTTGTTGTCCTTCTTCGAAAATTCCATAACCTTCCAATCATGATCATGAGTAATGAATTTCAACTTGTGGTCTCCTAAATATAAATTAGTCCAGTACCTTGAAACCAGTTTGGCACAAACGACATAAACATAAGGACCCAACGCTTTGTGTTTTGTGAGAACAGGCACCACTGGTCCAAAAAGCTTCACTGCAAATTCATAAGTAATGCCGTTTCCTGCAACTGTCTTGAAATAAATGTGCCTCATTGTAACTCGTAAGGTATATTTATCGACATCAGGTGTCTGAAATTTAAGCATTATTTCAATTTCGTCTTGGGACCATATCACATTTGGAATGTTGTGAACAGGAGTTAAATTCGATGGTGCAGCTGGAGGAAATGAAATATTTTTAGAGTGATCTATTTTTGGTATCTCTTCTGATGTAGATTCATCATTGATTTCTATAATTTTTGGAGTTGGATTGTCTTCAACTTGTGTTCCATATAGTGTCATTAGTTCATTAAGATCTTCAAATATTTTTTCAGGACAATCACTGTCCTCGTCTAAGCCAGCTAAAATATTCCAAACTAATGACATGTCTTTCTTGGGTGCACTACAAATCTGGAAAAGTTTTTCAGCTTTTTCACAGAAGCGAGCAGCTGTTTCATTCAAGCATACAATCTTCTCATTCACAGCTTTTTCGACTTTCACACTATAAGTTTTGTCTTCTAAAATATCAATAACAGATACAAACCAGATGGTACCGCTATGCTCATACAGCATGGCTACAATATCTTCAATAACTGTAACATCTATAACTAAATCGTGCAATTTACATTTAACAGCTTGCTGGGGAAGTTTTAGTAAATCATTTTCAATAACAAAAACTTCTTGAACAGTTTCTGTATCACCATAATCAATTAAATAGACAACATATCCTTGCGCATTGTTTTCATCTTTTTCTTCATCTTTGGCATCATTTGGTAACTTTAAAATCTTAGCTCTATTGAATATATTATTCTCACACTTGACTAAACAAAAATTACCGATTTGAGCATTTTCAAAATGCCTCAAATTATCAGTTGTTTTCGTGAATTCCTCAATGTCTGAATTCAATTTATTAAAAGGATCAATATTTGCATTCAACTGTATATAAAATGTAACATCTTCATCATCGTAAGCAACAGTCAAATAACCTTCATAAGTGTTACCTATTTCCAAATTAATTTCATCGGGTATTATTTGTTGTTTTACAGACTCATCTGCCTTTTGCCTTGCCCATCTCATAAATCGCTCCAATACTGAAGATTTAGATGGAGAAATATCATTTTGTTTCACTACAGTTTCCAATATATTTATTTTCTGAGCAATCTTGTCACTAGCAATAGTTTCAGTTTTTATTTCTTGCAATGTTTCTTCACTTGCTTCTTTCGTATCTTGATTATTATTTTTCTCTTCATTTTTGACATTCTTCTTTGTGTCGTTGTATAAAGTCAATAAGCGCTCAACTTGACTATTATTTGGTACACCAATATCTTTGTCTAAAATTTGTCTTCTTAAGGATTGTGTGCACACTTCCACACCCGATAGAACATGTCCTTTACATATATCATTCACCCAAATGTGATTTTGTAAAACAAATAAGATTTTGCTAGTAAAATATTCCTCATCGGATATTGGTAGATTTAGAATGTTTTTTACAGAAATATTGGCCATATCACACCATTTATTATCATCATGAGGTTTGATGTTACCAAGTCTAATTGTCACTATAAATGATGGTTTTTTTAAATGATCAGGAAGTTCTAATAACGTATTAACATTAATTTTGTCTATCTTTATACCTCGATCTATAAGCTCTATATTTACTGTAGTAGGAGCCATTTTTCTTACTGATTCATTCACCTGTTTTATTTCACAACGCTCATAGACACCACCTCCCATGCTGACTGCACAAATATGTCCTATCTTAGCTTGTGCTGATATTACAGCAGTGTCTGGTAAATTATTGTAATACAACGAACACATAGCAGAATTTAATGTTTCACTTTCAAAATCCTCCCACTCTCTTTTGCCTGGTTTGCGAAAACTAAGAAGCAAAGCCATGTAATAATCAACACCTAATATTTTAAGAATTCTATATTTCAATTCCCCACTAGTCGGCAGATGTTCTCTAGGTGCATCATACAATGTCATTTTATGCCTATTGATACAAGAATTAATCTTATCGCAGTGTCCCAGTAATAACATACTTCCACACAAATCTATACCGCTCAAAGCTTTTTCATATTCTTGTTTTTCCATCTCTTGTTCTACTACTGATTTTAAATTTTCATCAACAGGCTGTCCTAGTCTTTCGACAAAAGATATAATTCGTGGCAGCTGTCTCACTGTGTCTTCGTCTAACAGATGAAATGAATAACATTTTGGTTTGTTAGAAGTTCTGCTTAAGTTATTGATCATACAAGAGTAACGATGTGTGAATCCAGTCCAGGTTAACGGTAAAGAGTAATGGATGATAGTTGTTGCATCAGTAATATCTAAATCTGGGAATGTGTGATCAGTACAAACTAAAATCATATCTGAACGTTCTCTATGCCACACTTTATAAACACGCTCTAAATCTAAATGTTCAGTATCTTCGTGTGCTTTTAAGCAGGTTACTGATAGCAAGGTCAAGTGGTCACTAACTGAAATTACTTCATCTTTATTTTTACAAATCACAAGCATTTTCCTGTAATCTAAATCTGACAAAATATTTTCTATTGCAACTTTTTTTTTACTTTTGTACAAAACCTTAAATACAAATTGAACCCCTCCATAAATTGCTGATTCCAGATGAGCACCGATCAAAATGTTAGCATCGTAACGATTTAGAACCATATCATGATAATTGTTGAAATTTTCTGAGATGACAATCAATTGTGCTTGTTGAGCTTTTATACGAGCATCACAACTATTTAAAATTTGCTGAACATATTGGCAATCTAACTCTACATTATCAAGCACAACTATATCCACAGCTTTAAGGGTCGTCACTGAATTATAAGCCAATAGTTTGGAGTATACCAATGGGGTAGCAATTATTATATCCCATCCATTCGATAACGCCACAGGTTTGTTAAACCACTGATGTACTCTTGTAGTTTGAAGTCTTTTCTGTACATCTATCCTACATATAAAATTATAAATATCATCTACTTCAGACGCCGTTGGGGCTAAAATTAATACAATGGGGCTTAACCAACGATTTTTTGCTTGAATATCATCAAGCAATGCATAGGAACAGATGCTAGGCAAGTAACCAATTGTTTTTCCAGTCTTAGGAGCGTTTATGACAATTAAAGAATCATTGGTCAATATGGCAGGCCATGAATATGATTGAATTCGAAAGGTTTCTGAAATTTGCATCTTTGACAGATTTTCAAAAATATATTGTGGAAAACCTGCTGAAACTACATTATTACATGGCCGTAATGGTAGTTTACATTTTGTCAATACAAGTGGATTATCAAGTCTTTCCAGCCTATAATGTTTTTTTTCCTTAGTTTCCCTCTTTCGAACCATGGAGGCATGTTCAGCAGTTAGAACTAGATTTGTGCCATTTTTCAGTGTCACTAAATTGTTATTTAAATGATTTTTTGTGAGTGGTTTGCTTGATTTTTTTTTCTCGGGCGCCATTGTTATGCCTAAAATCATTTTTGAACATTTAAAATCACTCAAAAAGTCACTTAAAACAAAGTTTAAAATCTTATGACTATTAACGACTGCTAAACAACCATGAATTATATACAGGATATTAAATACGATAACTTTTTATTTGAAAACACATTATTGGTCGAAATTCTAAAATCTAGCTACTACTACATTACTAATATGTTTTATCGTAATATCATATGTAATGTATTATATATTACCGTAACATCATAGAAATAGAAAGAATTACCTTAAGACACTTGTTATTGTAGTAGAAATATTGTATATAGAGGAATATCAAAGACAATGATGTGAATAGTATATATATATATATATATATATATATATATATATATATATATATAATGAATGTATGCATACAAAGTGCTCACCAATAAAAATTAATAGTTAGTAAATTGTGCTTTAAACTTGATTATATATAAGTATATGCAAAATAAAATAGATTAAAAAAAATGTTCTGAAGTCATAGCTTTCGTATGTGCAAGGAATATTTATACAATCATTTCAACAAGAAAATTGAATATTATAACCTGTAATGACAATCAGAACATAATTTTCCTTCAACTATTAATATTTCTTAATCAATGATTTACCATATTATTTAGCAATGAAAAATTCTTACAATGCAACAGTAAGTAGTAGTTTAATTCATTAAAGTACATTAATTATTCTTTTCATTTTTAAATACTATAGTAAACGGTATTCATAACTATCATAACAGCTTTATGTTTATAGTTACCTTCTTCAGAACCCATTCACAAATAGGTATTCGAGTTACGTATAAATTATAAGAATATTATTATTTTGTCTTTTGTTTAAAAAGAAACTTTAGGTGGAAACTTTCACACACATTTATTGTTTTGGAAAAATGTAAAACGAAACTTATATGAAATTCGAGATGACATGACTGCGCGCCGGCTAGCACTGAACTGTCATGGCCACCCATTATCATTAGCGCCAACCATAGATAAATGAAGAGTATAATTAAACGAAGCAGGAGTGCCACCAACTGGGTGGAATCAAACATGGCATCGTGTCTTAAGGCAAATTGCTGGAACTTCCCGTACCGTGATTAAAAATCTTGGTACGGAAGTCAAACAAATTCACACAAAATGTGTACACATTATTTAAATCCATATGTCCAATTAACTTTTTTGACCGCCAAATGACATTTTTTAACTTATTTTTATTGAGAGTCCATAACCGCTGGACCTCCCAAAAATTTAATCAGTACTTCATCTTGTCAAGTAAAATGTTATTTAAATTATTAAAATCGAACGCTCTGTTCCCCTTAAAACTGAGTTACCGTTTTTGGCATTTTTGCCCCGTATCTTCGGAACGGCTAGACCTGCTTTTGCCAAAAACTAATCAGCACGTCTCCTTATCAATACGAATCGAATGTTTTTTGAATTATTCAAATCGGTTGATCGGTGTTCCCGAAATCGTCAACGAAAATTTCAATCCGCACACACACACATACATCCATTTTTTCTAAGGTATGCAAAATATTCAGAAACCCCTGAAATGTGGAGATATATAAAAAATTTAATTTTCGATTTTTTTTTTGCTATTACTATAACTTACCATACGGTAATGCTGAAATTGTTACAAGAGCACTCCTTAAATTAAAATTTAAAAACATATGTAATGCGTTTAAATTGCCACCTGATTGAGATATAAAAATAAAAAAAAAATCTTTGGCCACCTCGAATTTAGATTCAAACCTTCAAAACATTTGAGAACCTAAATTATTCGAGTTGAGCGCCCGAGCACCTTATTTTTTTGTATCATTCAAAATCATTAACTAGTGGCCAATGGCATCGTGCCTTAAAAAAAATTGCTGGAACTTTCTTTATCAAAAATTATTTTTTTCGAATTTTAAAATTTAATTTAATTTCGAATTTTTTTAAACAGAAAAATTAGATTTTTGAGAACATAGAATTTTTGGAAAAAAAACGACTTTTTTGAAAATAAAATATCTCATAATTTGATCTGCGTATGCCTAACTTTTATTTTGGACCGCCAAATGGCATTTTTTGTTACTTTTTATATTGGATCTCCAAAACCGGTGGACTTACTTTACCTAAAACAATTATCAGTTTTTCACTTTATCAATACAAATAGATGCCGATATGCAAACATTTTCATTTGCGATTACTATAACTTACCCTAATAATATATACTAAATTATTAAAAACTATTTATATTTTCCACTAATTATTTTTTATTATTTTATACTACTTCATTTCTTATACATATGGATATTAGAATCAAATATATTTATCGAGTAAAACAGGATTGTATTGAATTAAATAATTTTGAAATTAATAAACAGAACATCAATTTATTTTACATCCTCATCTTTAATATACTGCCTAGAAACATTTGATTCTTGCCTTCTTTTTGCCGAAACCATATCTCCATCTTTTATTTTATTTGTCAAAAGATCAGAACCTAATAATACATTAGTTTTACCAGAATTTTTCTTTAGGACAACTTCAGTTTTAGGACGTTTTCCACCCTTTTTCAACTTGCGATCATGCAAATTTGACTTTCTAAAAGAAGTAGATTTACTATTTACAGGGTGATTGATAATTTTTTTATCATCTTGTACTTCGGTGTTTTTATTTATGGAAGCTTTTTTTTTATTTACTGCGTGCGTACAAAGATGTCTTTCCAACTGTCCCCTAAATAAAAACTGCTTGTTGCAAACGGAGCATTTAAATGGTTTAAAAGTGTCATAATGATTTGCCAGAGCATCTTCAGTCGAAATTCCCATATTAACTAAAGAAATACAAAAATGCTATTAAATACATTAATTATTAATTAATCAATTTCGTGATAGGTAAATATAATATGTGAATTTCAAAATTATAACCCAAAAATACTTAGGGGTATGAAAAAAAAAAACAAAAAAAAACAATTTTTTCCCCTAAGTACTAAGTTAATTAATATATTAACAATTGTATATTTACCCGAATTCAAATTGTTATCGTTGATTACTGCATCTTGAATGGAATGGCTATTAGTTCCTAAAAATATTTTTCATTTAATTATTCATTATTATTATATTGTATGTTTAAAACATAAATGTGTTTTACTCACGGTTTTCGTTTATGGAATCATCTTGAGACAAACTTAGTTTCTGATAGTATTTAATGACAAAGTCTGGCATGCTGACATTGAAAACATAATCAACTTCTATAATAAGAAATAATTGAATTAATAATTATTATTATTTTGAATTAAATGTATACTAAGAATGCACGCTCTACAAAACAAATTATAAAAAAACTTATTTGTAAAGCGTTGAATTTTTACTAAAACAAGACATGAATTATCACTTTTAATTCATTTATCGCTTAAGTTATTTCTAAAAGACATGTTTAAAATTTTTGAGATTTTTTCCATACTAATTTCATACGAAACTTTGATTGAATTGCAAACTATCTAAAAATTAATATTAAGATCTAAAAGTTGTAGAGATTTTTTTTATCAATTTGGAAGCATTTGAGCCCTTGGGAGCAAAAAAATTCGAAAATGTCCATGTTAAAGACTACCCTAATAATATATATATATATATATATATATATATATATATTGTATTTAAAAATTACTCACCCAGATCAAGAAATCTCAAATATTTTCCAAGCTCTTCATGCAATGCACTTTGTTCACCATCGGACATCCTACGCCATTCTTCCTTTTCAAAAAAATGAGAAATAGACTCGACGTTATTTTCATCGTATAGTTCCATCTTCTATATTAAACTTTCAAAATTCAATAAAATATAAATATAGGTGAACAGAACAACTGTATAAAATAAATTAAATCTGCTAAAATTCAGTCGTCAAGTAGCAAAGACTTTCATTCGAACATCTGAACCTGAACGTTGAAGGCGCCAAAATGTTAAAATTGCCTCTAAATTGATTGTAACTTTTTGGCGCCTTAATTTATAGCGCCATTTGGTAAAAATGAAATATTAATTAATTTATTACGACTTTTATATTGAATTAAATAGTATTAATTTTATAATTGAATCATGTTTTGTAATTATTAAAATAAGTATTCAAATTTTGAAATTGAAATAACAAAATTTGATTCACAAAGTTGGTATCACTTTTGCACTAGTCACGCGCAATTTTAGAACTGTCATTTTTATTTAAATTATTTTACCTTGGTTTATCTTATTTTTATCAAATTAACTTAATATTCATTGCAGTAATTATTATCGAAATTTGAACTAGTTGCAACACTAAAATAACGATATATCATCCTTATTTCTAGTGTATTCTGCACATAGTCAGCAAAACTACAAGAAGTAAATAAAAAATATACTTATCTGCAAATTGAGTTTAAATATTTAAGCCCTTTCATACTGAAGAAGTTATGAATATATTATATTCTAATAGTGTCTAGGAAAGTTACTATCGAAAGCGAAGTACATCCTTGACAGAAGAGCTGTTTCATTAAGTCTACTGATGATTTCAGGAAATTCATTTTAGATATTAGAAATTTAAAAAATTACAAGTGTTTTTTTTACTTTAAGATATCTAGATAACGTTGAGGTAGTTTAATTACATGATACATTATTATACAAAATCAATTTCTCAAGGAGGATGTATTAGTATATTCAATGGCAACAGGTCCAAAATGGTTAAATAAAGGAAAAAAGTTCTGAGATTTACATTATATTATTCTAATAAAACTTATTAGCAAAGAAATGGTATCAAAACTTGAAAAATATGCAAAGACCTATATGAAGCGTGAAGATTTAGTTGTATCAATAACTGATAGCAGTAACAGGTTTAATACAACGAAAACTAAGGCAAATCTTACATGAAAAGATATGAGCCGCAAAAAACAATATGATTATGAGCAGAACACTGTTGATTTATATTACAATTTGAATTGTTGTGAAAGATAACAGCTGAATGTGTAATAAAAAATCTCATTTTTCATCTAGTAACTATAACTTTAATCACAACTTTCAATTTCAGACAAACATTGAGAAATTATTTATTCAAGATGTTTTTATTTACATATTTTGAAGACATATAAGTGGAAACACTTTTTAAATCTATCATTTCGTTTTAGTATCCTTTCGTATCCTCTAGATGCCATACACCTTGTGACTCTTGAGATTGTTCTGATTCATTTAATCTATACTATATATATTTTATATACACAAATTTGGGTATTTGCACATAACACTCCTACTGATACTGTACATTATTATTTTGATTTAAAACTGAAGGATCTTCCATTATAGGATTTGACTGTTTAAACTGTTCTGCCGAGAATCTTGTCAACAATATACCAACTCCTTCGATCAGAGCAAGCAAAACGCCACCAATAACTGCACTGCCTGCCATGGCTGCGACACATTTCTAGCGGCCAGGATGCCCCCAGTAGCAGCACCACTGATAATAGAATTCCACGGGTCTTCTTTTTGACGTATTTTCACTAATGTGCAGTCTATCGTACTGAAAACATACCGCCCCCAAACGGCGAAGTTACCAGCTATAATTGGAGACCTAGTCTTGATGGCAGATAAACTTCCAGGAGTCTTCTGTTGATACCTGACGGTGCATTCGGAAACCTTTTATGAACTGAAAGACTCCGCCGCCTATGCAGCCCATTGCAAAGGCCCCTCCGCAATCGTATACGATTCTCCATGGGCACGGTTCACGATTATAT